GCCCCCCTTATTTAGGTATTTCAATTTAAAATACCAAAATTCAGTTTTGTCACAGAACAAGCAATGAAAAATTAGGTGGTAGTGCAGCGACATTTTTAAAATAGTTTTATTGAATATTAGTGGTGTATATGAACGCGAATGAATCGTACTAAAAAAAAGGTCAACAGGTTTCGCAGGAATTCTTCAGACAAAAAAGTTACTAGTTCACCCGGCGAGCCGATTCCCGGACTGTCCGGACGATAACACTATCGTAGGCGCGATGCAAGTATAGATTAGGATGTTTCAAATTTTTACAAGATATTATTATTATTTATTGTGAAATTTTGCCGCCCCCTAAAAAGTGCCGCCAGGGGCGGGCCACCCCTGCCGCTCCCACTACGGTACGCCACTGGGTTAGCGACTTCGATCACATGCAAGGGCATCACAACCTATCTAATTCGGATTACTTTTTAAATATTAATAGTAGACTTGTATTGACGTACTTTAAAATATTAAGTCAGTATTTAACAAACCAAAAAATATCACATAAATAATTAATAAATCTCAATCGGAACTTTTCCTACAGACTTAGAATGGGATTCCGGAAGTCAACGTAATGTCATTTATGTTTTTTAAAATTAGATTTTGCATTAAACCTTTATGTATTACTCATAATTTGTAGTTTATTGAGATTTATATTACTGTTATGTTTCTTCAATTAAAAGGATCGAATGTAAACGGAAGAAAAGCCGCTCATAAGAACTTTACCGATAAAAATATAATGGACCGTACAGCGTTTTCCTAACAATATCAACATTGGAAAAGTACGGATTGCAACAATGTTATACTTAATGACAAGAAAAGTTTACTGGTGATGTTTTAAGGTCACATCTGTAAATTTCATTTTAAAAATTGTATTTGTCAGAAAATGGAAATATTTTAATTTTTAAAGTAAAATAAATAAAATCCAATAATGTTGTCACGTAACACAGGTAACGTATTTGTCGAAAGTAACCAAAAGTTGGCATGCATTGTTGAATGTTTTGATTGTTGCCTCTCACTTGTTGAAAAAAACTCTTTGTTTATTCTCCTTTTAACTGTTTTTTTTTTAACTTGTGAAAGAATTTAAATGACAAGTTTTATAAGAAATCAAAATGAAATGAAGAGCAAACAAAATTGTGAATTCAAAAGGATTTAAAGAATTATATTTCAAATTTCACGTGAAAATTTTGTAAAATTAGTGTTGAATTCAGTTAATTAACAAAATTATACATGAAATTAAGAGGGCAAAAGTCATATTTTAGTTAGAAAGGGGCAATCTTCTCAAATATCAGGTAAGTTCTAGAGTTTAGACACGAATGGGGTAGATGGTGGCTGTCTCTTCCCGTTCAAATATCAGGTAAGTTCTAGAGTTTAGACACGAATGGGGTAGATGGCGGCTGTCTCTTCCCGTTCAAATATAAGGTAAGTATCTAGAGTTTAGACACGAATGGGGTAGATGGCGGCTGTCTCTTCCCGTTCAAATATAAGGNAATGTGACAAAATATTTATAAGTTAAATACTTAATTAATCGAAATTTATATTTGTCTTTTTTTTCTGTGGCTAAAATTACCATGCAATTTACATTTTCGTATTTATTATTTTTGCCTAAATGGTAAGAAGTTATTTGCATTCCTTAATTCTGAAGAAAACAATCATAAAAGAGGGTTTTTGGGCAAAACGGAAAGCGTACGCAACAATGTTAAGTTTTCTCCCAAACCTTAGAATCTCCTTAAGAATACCGCCGATCATACCAATAACAGTAGGTTTTTTTAATTAATTAAATACTCTTTCCGCCCTGTGGACACTAAGAGGGTCTCTTATAGCAGGCCCATTATGGGTTCGGCCAGGCCCATAATGGTGCGACCGGGTGGTGAGGGACGGGGCCCGACATATCCGAACGGACCATCCCCGAAAAATTCCTAGGAATTCCTTGACCCGTTCCGGATTCGATCCCGGGTCCCCCACAGCGGTAGGTTGCCACCTTGACCGGTCAGCTCGGTTATCCGACCCCTAATAACAGTAGGTAGTGGGGGAATGGAGTTTCTCTAAATAAAAATTAAAAAGTTTTTACGTTCCACCACCACGCAAAATCATCTTAATAATTAAGTTTGGCCATTTTGGTGATTGCGTATGAAACTGCCGATCAAGTAAACTCAAAAAAGTTAATAAAAAAGGTTGCAGAACTAAAAGTGTGAAAAAAGTTTCTTTAGATTTTAGTATGGTTGATGTACTTTAGTTTTTATAGAATATAAGTTTTTTGTTTGATTGTACAATACAGTAATACCTCGACTTACGCAAACCCGGAGTTACGCGATTTTCAAATCGCGTCGATTCGTTTTTTGTTTGAGCGTCGCGCAGCTCTCGATTACTCACTCCCCCCACACTATTGTTCAGCTTACCTGTTCGGACGTGTCGCGCGGAATCGACACATAGCTACAATTTATTTTGTGTTATTTATTTCTGTGTTTGTTATATCTACGGAGACTCCAGAGACTATGCGGTGATTTCTTGTAACCGTAAACGAATCAAAAGACGAGATAAGATTAACGAGAACATTTATTAGCTTACATACATTCGACTTGGATTTTACACAAATTGCGAAATTATACCCCGACTTACGCGGTTATCGCTCGGTCCCACCTATCGCGTAAGTTCGGGGTATCACTGTAATACTTTTTTGTAATATAATTAAAAATGCATCTAGTTAACAATTTGTAATTAGGTACAGTTATATTTTAATTTTTACTGTTTTGTACTACTTGATTGTTAATTTTATATTACATGTTTCTCTCTAATTAAATTTAAGGGGGTGGCAATTTGTCTTTTTGTTCGGGGCATCAAAATGCTTGAGTGGGAGCTGCCTCCACCTAACTATATCTTTGGTGTCAAACATTCGTAGCAATGTTTTTCGGTTTTTAGCATTCGTAATAACTGCTTTCTTTCACTTCCTGGCCTTCTTTTCCACGTTCACTCCTTCAAAATATTATATATAGTCGATTTTCCATTGCCTTCGGCTAGAAATTACTCCGCTACCGTTTTTTTTGAGACGTTCGCTTTATTTTTATACATTTGTACAACGTAAAAAAAAAAAAATTCCTGGAAACAACGAGGACAAGGCGACGTTAAGGTCCAATATAAGTAAGGATTTGAAAAAATATAAAGGTAAAAATGGTTTCATATCTGATAAAAAAGCAATAAAAATAAATGAGAAAACTAAAAGGTTAATTAAATTTTTTGATAATAATAAACTTTCTATATTAAAAGCAGATAAATCACATCAATTGGTTATATTTACGAAAGAAGAAGTAAAACAAAAGAAGAATGAAATAGCTATGTCGGATGAATATGAAAAATTGACATCAGATCCATTAAAGGAAATACAGAATAATTTAGTGAAAATAATCAAGAAACATAAACAGTACTTTTCGAGTCAACAGGTAAAAAATATACTAGATTTCAATAATATAAGACAACCACAACTAAATTTAAGGGTCAAGACTCATAAACCTGGAAACAAGTGTAGACCACTAGTTGATTTTAAAAAAACAGTCTTATATAATTTGGAATGTTTTTTAAAAAAGTATTTGCAGATAATTGACAGACCGTCATACAGCATCAAGGATACAGATGAATTAATTAATGGATTACTGAAAGGTAATGTTATGCAAAATCACCGCCTTATGAGTTTAGACATAAAATCAATGTACCCATCAATAACATTACATATGATAAAAGAATCTATCAGTAAATATGAAATACCAGATTATATAATTTCTCTTATAGAATTTATATTTAAAAATAATTATTTTAAAATTAACACAGAGTTTTTTCGCCAAAAAGATGGAATATCAATGGGATCAGTGATTGGACCTAAACTAGCAGAGATTTGCATGAAACCAATTGATGACAGTATATCACAAATACCAGGTATTGATTTTTATGCCCGATATGTGGATGACATATTAATTATCTTTGATTCTTGTGTAGTAACACCTCGTGAAATAGAAGATTATGCGAATACCTTAAAACCCAATATAAAGTTTACTAGTGAAATAGAACAAAACCAGGAAATAAACTATTTGGATGTGACTATTAAACGTGAGAAAACGCAACTACTGTTCCGTAAGTACGAAAAACTGTGTAATACAGAAAAAACAATTAGTTATAAATCTTATTGCCCTATAGAAACTAAGAAAAACGTTTTTTCCATGGAATTGAGGAAAATATTAAACAGAACAACACTCCAGGAAGATATAGATAAAGAAATTAAACAATTATTTAGAAAATATTTAATGAATGATTATCCAAAGAACAAAATTTGTAAGTGGTACAGTTCTTTTATAAATTACAGATATAATGTTAAAAATAGTGTAGATAATAATATTTATGTAAAAATGCCTTATATATACAATTTATATGAACGATATAAACCTTTATTTAAAAAATCTTCTGTATGTTTAGTTGCCAAGCAGGAAAATAAAATGTCAAATATCATTAATATTATCAATACCAAAGGTCAGAAAACAGTAAGAAATCAGCTTGATGTCGCAGGAGTGGTGTACAAGATATCATGTGATTGCTTACAAGCGAAATCATATGTTGGAGAAACAGGACGGAAACTCGAGATACGCCTAAAAGAACATGAGGCGGCGATTCGTTTAAAAAGACAAGAGTCACCATGGTATCAACATTGTGTTACTTATAACTGTAAAATTAATAGAAGTTCGATAAAAATATTGTATAAAATGGAAAATTTGTTTAAAAGACGCGTGGTAGAACATTTATGTATAATAGAATATGCAAATTTACTAAATCAGAATGTCGGTCTAAACGTTGATGCATGCTGGGAAAAGTTCCTTTGTATAAAAGGGAACAGGTGTCTAGTTGTTTGATTATCCACTGAAGAGGCTGTAACGGCGAAATGCATTTGGAAAACAATTTGAAATTTACGAAAATAAAAGAATTAACCCTGGTTAAAGTAATGTATCTTTGTTGATTTACTGTTTGTCTGCTAATGCAAATTGCTCGAAGTCGGTTTTTGAAAGAGTGTCTTAATTTACTCGTCTTTTATTTTTAAAAATTATATTTTTAGAAATTTTACCGATCTCATTGTTTTATATTTTATTA